TGGGGACCTGGATCAAGAGGTTTCAGAGGAGAAGAATACTGTTTGTGGCCTATAGACTGTTCTTATGATATTTTGGTGAAAATGTGTCTGTTTTCTGCCTTTGTCCAACAAATATGCCTGAGGGTCAATTGAAGAGTTATGGATTTACAGCTTGCCAGAAGACATTTCCAGATAGCCTTGTATTGACTATGTTGTTTGGTTTTTAGTAGCCACATTTGTGCAGATTTATAAGGAAAACAGACTGAGCAAGGAAAGTTACAAAATGTACTATCTGAAGAGAAAGGGGTACCAGGAAGTGGGATAGAGCTAAGTGTTCAAGGAGATAAACAGATTAAAGAAAACCCTGGTATTAAATGGAATAAAGGGAGTGGACCTCGGGCAACCCCACCCAGCTAAACTTCCAACTTGTGAAAAGGAATTCAAAGTTTAGAGCAGGGTGTGGTATTGCACACCTTTAATCCTAGCACTCTGGAGGCAAAGGCAGGTGAATTTCTGAGTTTGAGGTCAGACAAGCTTAGGCAGTGAAGGAAATCATCAAAAACAGAAAGCTGGTAAAGATGTAATTGAGTAAGGGGCCAGCCCCAACAAGCAGCACAACCTGGGCAGTTTTGGCACACGGTTCTGGCTTTAGGGTCAAGGATAGAAGAAGGGGTTATGGAATCTCTCTCTGACTAAGGAAATCCACTGAAGCCAGGTATGTGTCAGGAGTATCCCTGAATGGAGGCCTAGAGAGGCCATTTTATGAAGCTGTGAAGTTGAAGACTGGATTGCCTTGGAGAACCCAAGATGGAGATGTCAGAGCCATGGGATACACTTGCTGTGGAGAGCTGCTATCGAGGAGTGGAACCAGCCTAAGAGAAAGAAGTGTGCTGCAGTCAACTAAGCTGAAAGGAGTTGGAGATCTGAAGAGCACTTTGACATCAGACATGGAGATGCAGAGTTTGGAGTTTGCCTGGCTAGTTTTTGGTCTCACTTTGGCTCAGTATTTCCTCACCAGTATATTTTCCCTTTCCTCCTGTTCAGAATGGTAATGTATATCTTGTGCCATTGTATGCTGGAAATATGTAATCTGCTTTTTCACTTCAATTTTATAGATTACAGTTAAAAGATCACATGAATCTCAGAAGAGACTCTGAACTTTGGACTTTTAGACAATATTGAGACTGTTGTAGACTATGGGGACTTTTGAAGTTGGACTAAATGCAGTTTGCCTTATGATACAGCTATAAGGCTCTGGGAGGCAGGGAGTGGAATGTGATAGTTTGAATGCAAACAGCCCCCTAGGCTCATAGGAACTGACAATATTGGGAGATATGGCCTTGTTGGAGAAAGTGTGTCACTGGGGGTGGGCTCTGAGGTCTCAGCTCAAGCCAATCCTAGTGTTGCTCATTCTCTTCCTGCTGCCTGTGGATCCAGATATAGAACTCTCAGCTCCTTCTCCAGCACCATATCTGCCTGCCTGCCACCATGCTTCCCACCATGATGATAATGGACTAAACCTCTGAAACTGTAAGCCAGCCCCAATGAAATGTTTTCCTTGATAAGATTGTCATGGTCATGGTGTCTCTTCACAACAATAAATCTCTAAGATACACATAAAATAAATAAATCTAAAAATTAGTTTTTAAAAAATCTTAAATCAAGCAGTGACTAGCTGAAAACACATCTATCTGTTGATGTCAACCAAACTAATCAGGGTCATAGACTATCAATGCTGCTCAGTATACACAGTGGTAGAAAGAGCTTCTAATCTGGAGGTGACTCACCTGTTTAGCTTCTTCTACTACCCCTCCTGGCACAAGCTGTCCACTGGAAGGATCCAAGCCTACTTGTCCAGAGATGTAAACCGTCCTGTCCACTAGCACAGCTTGGCTGAAATGAACAAAAGCCAATGTACATGTAAAATAGACAACATAAAAGTCAATTCTAAAACAGTAACTTACTAAGATAAAAAAGTACAATTTGTAAAATAAAAAACTGATAAATATGACTTTTAATAAATTAAAGTTTTGTTTTTGAAAGACATCTTTAAGAATGTAAAAAAGTCAGAGGGTGGGAGAGAATATTTATAACGTATTTACAATATTTACAGCAAAAAACTTGTACCCAGAATATATGAAGAACTTGTAACTAAATAATAATAAGACACACACACAACCTGGTAAAACACAGGCACTTGATTTTGGTAGCTATCCTTAAGATACACCAACTACTAAGGAGTACAGGAAGGAGGCCGTCCCAGATATACAAGTCTGAACTCCAAGATGCCGCTGACACCACAGCAGGGCCAGGAACACGTCACACCCGTGAAGAGCAAAATGCACTGGAAAAAGGAGAGTGCCGGGTCTTTCACACACACTTAACAGGGCACACTCTGGAAAACAACTGAGCCATTACTTAAAATTTCAACATATAGTCAACACACTACCCAGATTATCCCATCCCCCAAGCACCTATGTAAATGAGAATGAAAACACATCCAAAACCTTGCATGAATGTTTGGAAACAACATTCCAATAAACAAAACAAACCACTGATCCAATGGATGACTATACATTGTTTGATGAATCCCAGCAAAGGTACCCCCGGGAGAAAGGCTAGTTACTACTTGTTGTATAGCTCTAGATGCATTTTGAGAGCACATCATTCTGCACAGAGTTTACTGTGAACTTCCATATGTACATTTTTCATTAATTTTTACAGCTCTGGCACACTGCATTATAGAGATATTTCAATCCCCTTTTCTTCCATTGTCGTTTCATATGCGATTACACTGAAACCAACCCCATACCTTCTAGTGTCTTCACTAAAGCACGGAGGTCTCCTCCTTAAAATAGTATTTTAAAATTTTTTTGAGACAGGGTTTCTTTGTATCCTTGGCTGTCCTCGAACTCACAGAGATCTGCCTGCCTCTGTCTCCCAAGTGCTGGGATTAAAGGTGTGTACCACCACCCTGCTCAAAAATAGTACTTTGGGGGTGCTGCTTTTGCTTTTGAGACAGGGCTTCATCATGTAGTCCTGGCCTACCTGAAACCTGCTGTGTAGTCTGGGCTGGCTTGAATTTATGGTGATCCCCCTGCCTCTGTCTGCCTCCTGAGTGCTGCATTTACAGATACATGCTACCACAACACATACATAAAGAAGTACAGTCAGTCACACACCACCACCCTGGGCTTTAAAAAGCTTTCTGTTTGTTTTCTTGAGACAGGATCTCACTGTGTAGCCCCAGCTGACCCTGAACTCACAGAGTCGGCCTGCCTCTGCCTCCTAAGTGCTAGGATGAAAGGACTGTGCCACTATGCCTGGTTTTAAGGAATGTTACGGCAATGTTCTATTCTGAGTCTATCTCCCAGAGTATGCTAGACTGTAAACTTCTGGGGTAGAGCCACACCTCTGTAGCTGTGTAGGGTGACTCTTTGCACACATGCATGCTGTTTCTGGCGCCGCTGCTAGGCTAAGCACTCAGCACCAGCAATCCTGGCTCTCACAGCCATGTTCTCTGCAGGACCCCAAAGTGATGGAGGTTAACCGACCGACAGTGCAGAGAGCCTGGGTTCTTCTCCACTCTTGGCTTTCCTTCACCTCTATCCAGAAACAGGTAACTGTTGGGCTTGTTAGTGTGTAAGTTTTTCTCAGGTTCAACAGTCCCATTAGTTAACACTATTAACTGACCCTTGTGAAATTAGGCCATTTGCACTAGGCCCTTCAAAATAGCTTCAGTTCTCCCAATACCTTGAAAGAGTTTAAACTCAGGTGCCTTATCAATAATCAAAAACTTTATGATAGTAAAAAGAAACCCACTTATTCAGAATATCAAAAATAATCACTGGAGCTGAGGCTACTTGATTTAAGTGAATCACCTCAAAGATTTAAAGAGGTTATTTCACAAAAAACAATTGGCTACTTGATACTTTTTGGGAATGAGAATCCTACTCATCCAGTTAAGTTCCAGAAATTGTCGTATATTTTTTTTTTCCAAAGATTTTATTTTGGGGCTGGAGAGTTGGTTCAGTTGTTAAGAGCACTTGCTGCTCTTGCAGAGGTCCCAGGTTCAGTTTCAGGCATCCACATGGTAGCGCACAACTGTCTGTAATTCCAGTGCTAGGGGATCTGGTGCCCTCTTGTGGCCTCTTCAGGTATGTAGTGTACATATTTATATGCAAACAAAACCTTCACACACATAAAACAATAAAATAAATAGGTTTAATAAATAGACTTTATTTTTATTTATGTGTGTATGTGTTTGTATGAGTGTATGCCACATTGTGTGTGGGTGTCCCGAGGCCAGAAGAGGACATCAGATCCCCTGGAACTGGATTACTGATGGCTGTCAACTACCAGATGTGGGTACAGGGAACTAAACTTGGGTCCTGTGCAAGGGCAGGAAGTGCTCTTAACTGCTGAGTCCTAAATTTTTGAAATACATTTTATTTAGTGTGTGTGTGTGTGTCTATGTGTGTGGTGGATGCACCATGGTAGACCCTGGAGGAGTCAGTTATCTCCTTGTACCACATAGCTCTCAGGATCAAAGTCGGCCATTAGATGCTTTTACCTGCGGAACCCTCTCACCTGTGCAGGTTCCAGACATTTAAAAGCATTTTATTCTACTTCCTAGCCAGAAATACACAAGGCATGATGGTACAAACCTATAATTCCTGTACTCAGGCTGTACTTAGAAGGATCACCATGTGTGAGGCTAGCCTGGGATGTGTGGTGAGTTCTAGGCTGGTTGGAACTAGAGAGTGAGATTGTCTAAACAAATCACACACGGAAAACATCTACCCCAAACCAAACCAACCCTAAACCAAGGGTAGTAAAACTTTAAAAAACATTCCAATTAAGCTTCCGGTCACGACCTATGCCACATCATGGCCGTGCTAACAAAATGGGAAGCCACACAACAGCTCTGGTGTTGCAATCCCCCAGACTCTGCCCTCAGTGTCCTGAAATGTGCTGAGCTGACTAGCTAATTAGTGACAACACCCCATCCATCCCAACGCTGAGGGCTGAAAGGCTCAGCACATTGGAATTCTCTCCAGAGAATTTCACTTGCAGACTATGACCTTGAAATGGTTGACCTTGAGCTTGTCCTTTTGAAAAATGGAGAGACAACTTAGAGGAGAAAAGGCGGTTCCATGGTGCCTGCCACATAACATCCACTGAACTAACGCTTCCTTTTTGTTATACAGGTGAAGGCCCTTCACACTGCACTACTTCTCACACATTTTTGCATCAGTTAAGTACTTGGCATCCACTACACATCTTCCACTTTTGAAATGTTGAGGCTGTAGAATATCTTCAGCTCTGATTGACAGTGAAGAGACACGAGATCAGGAACCACTTTTTCAAAAGGAAAACTGGCTCTAGACATACTTTTGTGAATACTTAGAGAAAAATTAGCAAGGAGAACATTTGCAAGAACACATAAGAGATGATGCAGAGATTTTTGAAGCTGAGGCATTTTGAGAAAATAAGGTTTTAGGCTAAGTGTGTTGGTCTCCATCTTAGAGCTAAGAAACGCTGAAACAGACCAGCAGGTACCAGGTTAGTCTGAGCTGCACCCCGTCCTTCACAGCCCCCACAAAACGAAGTGAAAAGAGAGTACCATTTCTATTTAAAAGCACTTCTGACAAGTGAGGATAAATGTCAAAGGGTGATTTTTTTCTTCATCCAGTACATGTATGTTTAGTTATAGTATATAGGGCAATCTCAAAAATCACTTTTGGTGTTACTTGCATTTGATATTAGTGATAAATAAACATGGGCAAACCATTCATAAGCATCACAGTACATGCCTACATGTTGTAAAAACCAGGGACTTGGATAGACATACAGGGATTTGCAAAACATTGCTGTGACATCAGCTGTCCACATGCGTCAAGCATATCTGTTGACGGGTTTACTCTTGTGAATTATGTCAAACTTCATGCTAGTAAAAGAAGCCCGTCACAGAGGACCACATGGTGTATGATTGTTTTTAGAGGGCACGTCTTTAACAGGTAAATCCTATAGTGATGGGAAGTACATAAGTGGCTGTGAGGGGCTCGGGGAAGGGGTCATGTGTGGGGAAAGCTTATTTCAGGTGGTGATGGCCACCCAACTTTTGAGCAGAGTAAAAGCCACTGAATTGTATCCATTAAAGGAATGTAAATTCTATGGCTTATTATATCTCAATAAAGTTGTCACGAAAACCAAAACCAGAGGCTACAACGACGAAAGCCGAGGAGTGGGTGGTGGGTGGGTGATACCACTTCTAATCATGCCATGCGAGGGGCAAGCATGGCTCCGGAGCCGGGCAGCTCCAGATGGGGGCAAAGTCCCAGGAGTGCAAGCTTCTGGTCACACTGAGGCTCTCCTATTCCTGCGGGGATCTGGGCGCAAAGTCCCCTTTCTGGACTCAGTTTCCTCGCGCGTTATAAGGGGTCGGTTCTGAGACCCTCTTCCACTCAGACCTCCAGCGTCCGCAGTTCCAAATTCGCGACCCGCGCACACCCGGTCCTTCAGTGCTACCATAAGAAACATTACCTGTAGGCACCAATGGCCGCCGGGGCTTTTGTGGTGCTGATCACCTTTCTGATCACGGACGACATGCTGATCCTCTCACGAAGACCCTCCAGAAGACGACTCTACCGCAACTCTTCTCACTCCTCTGACCAGAGCACCCCAGGTTCTAAAGTTTTTGCCTCAGGCACCGCCCCGGGCGGGTTCGCAGCGCATGATGGGAATTGTAGTTCGCGCGCGACTCCGGGACACGTGGAGGAAGCCGCCGTGTTGGCGCATGCGTCCTCAGCTCGCTCTCGCAGCCGGCGCGGTGGGAGCGTTCTGACCCGGGGCCCCCTGAGAGCGTCTGGCAGGTTGGTGGTGCGCTTTGTGCCCGGCGGGGTCCGTCAGCTCGCGGGGGCCGCGTGTGGGGCCGCGCGCCCGCAGTGGCGGGGTCTGCTCGGGGCATCTTCTCCTGCCGAGGTCCATGCTGCCCGGCCGGGCCCTCTTCAGTCCGGAGCCTCTGGCTGCTGCGCTCCAGCTTTACGCTGGTGCTCGCCCGGCCAGGCAGACCCCCACTCTCCCGGGAATGCGCTTGCATCCCTTTCCTGGTTCCCTAAAGGACGGGGTGGGTCGTTCCGGGGAACCAAGCCGAGGGGTAGTGTGTGGTCTGCTGCCTCTCCTCATCCCATGCTTCCTTTCTCTGCAAGATCGCCTCAGGATCTGAGCGATCCGTGACTGGGGACTGGGTTCAGGCTCTTCCTCTAGCTCACGACCTCAGCGTTTTCCCATTCACGACCCCAGGTATATAAAGTAGATGTACAAATCAGTTACCGATAATATATCATAAAGAAGTTTATTTTAAAGCAATTCTTGAGTGTATTTGGTGTAATTTTACCATTTACTAAAGATAAAAACGAATTCGCATCCTCTGAAGTAGATGTGCCTGTTTATTTTTTCATAAAGACGAGTCTGGGCTATTTGATACCGCAGGACATAAAGCATGTAAAGTTTTTCAGAGCTGATATATTTTTGTAATGTCAGTGCTGAGATGACATTTTGCCTAAATATGTAGTACAAGCAGAACTATCATTAGGGCCAGTTGTTGGAAAAGTCTATCATCCTAAACCAAATTAATAATTCAAAAACAAACAAACTTAAGTTAGCAACTCAAACAGCAGTTTTTGAAATTAAACAATGCAGCATAACACAATCTAAAGTTGTACTAATTTGGCATATGATGATCCTTTTAGGAAAAACTTAAGCCTGTTTTTATAACATTGTTTGTTTTTTTTCTTTGGTTGTTTTTTTGTTTGTTTTTTGGTTTCTATGTAGTTTTGGTGCCTGTCCTGGATCTCTCTTTAGACCAGGCTGGCCTTGAACTCTCAGAGATCTGCCTGGTTCTGCCTCCCAAGTACTGGAATTAAAGGTGTGCACCACCACTGCCCGCCTTATAACATTGTTTCTTAACAGGATAACCATGTATGTATGGTGAAAACCCTGGATTCATAACTTGCCTGGAATCTTGGCTGAGATGTCTCAGGCGGCATTTGCTGGTGTTGCATGTGTGTAAGCATGGATTGTCAAAGCCCACGAGTTCTGTGTGCTGAACTGAGGCTGCAGTGAAGTCACATGGTACAACCCAGCTGAATACTGCCAGAAACACCTCAGATTCATTACACATTAGATTTTGAATTGTTCTTGCTAGATTTTTTTTCATCACCCCACATTCATCTACATGACCCCATATGGGGTTGTGACCCCCAGTTGAAGAAGCTCTGAGGCTGTGTACAGTCCTCCCTGCCATCCCAAGCTGGTCTCTGGGGAGGTCATGCTGTGTCAGAAGGAATAGTACTGGGATAGATGTTCATGTGCTTTATAGTCACACTTCATTTATACGTGCATGTTATTATTCAAGAACATTGGGGTCTTTTTCATTGGTGTGGGGTTCCATCCTGGAGTAAAAGAGCTTCCTGCATGGTCTCCACTGCCTATTTGGTTCCGTCCTTTTCTTCCCATCTTCCTGCTATAGTCCTGCCGAGTCCTCAATCCTGTGTTCACACAGTAGATTCCCGAACAAAAATTACAGCTCAGATTTTCTTACTGGCTTTTCCTGAGAGTGCACATTCTTTCCCTGGGTAGTATATTTTATGTGTGCTCTCAGTCTCCAGTTTTGAGTTTTAGGAATAGTGAATGGAACTAGCAAGCCTGGATGGAATCTCAGAATGTTCAGTAGCTTGGAAAATTAAGTCACTAGTGGCTTGGCTACCTTCTCTTGGAGGCACAAGAACAGCACACTCGTCTTTGCTGTGGTCTACATGAATTCTGCGTGTGGATAGAAGTGAATTCTGATGTCACAGAATTGAAATGCAGGCTTGGTAACTTCTATTCTGGGTTTTCCTAGCTCCAGTGTCCCTACCGGGTACCTTTTCTCCCTTCCCTCCACCGGCAAAACAGTGAATGGCCGTGGCATGGGGCGGGTGAGGACTTTCAGGGCCTGTCTCCAGCTTTATGGGTTATGCCAGTGCCTGTGTTGGTCACTTTGGTGTGAATATCCTCTAGGTTCAAAAGTCTCCTTTTCAGAGTGTCATCTAGTGTAGGTGTGGAAAAACACATACAGAAATGCATGTTTTGTTAAAATAACCTTTCAGGTGTTTAGGTTACATTGCATGTTAAAAGTAACATCTCTAGTCAGCCATGTTATGGATTTATTTCAAAAAAAGAAAACAAGTGTTTCAGATTGATTAGAGGGTGTTGAGGCCCTGATTTGGGAACCACTAAGTAACTCCATCAGGTTCTGTGATAGTGTCATTCTTTATGTGTTTTCACTTGAAGTCTAAATCACTCTGTTGCTCTTGTACATTAAAGATACAGCTAGCTGGCCTCGGCTCAGTAGTCTAAATGAAAATATCAGTAATGTATCTTCAATTTGGAATCAAATGTTTTAGTTATAATTTATTCTGGTGCCTCTTAGTTCATCTAAGAACCAAGATAAAATATTATAAGTAATTTAATTTCAGTGATCTTATCTCATGTCACTTTATACATTTGTTAGCATTTGTATGTAGTTTAATTATGTGGCAATGTAAAATATGCCAGTTGGGACACTTTCATCAAGAAACTTTTCTGTTGTTTGTTTTTTGAAACAAGGTCATGCTGTGTGGAGCCCTGGCTGGCCTGGTACATGCTGCGTAGCTCAGGTTGGCCTCTTCTGCCCAGCCCCTACCTTTAGCTCTGCGTGCTGGGTTCCTAAGCACACAGTAGCACCACATCTTGCTAAGAAATGTCCTTCTTTCTCTCTCTCTCTCTCTCTCTCTTTCTCTCTCTCTCTCTCTCTCTCTCTTTCTCTCTCTCTCTCCCTCCCTCTCTTCCTCCCTTCCTTCCTTTCTTTTTTCTTTTTTGGATGGGAGTGGTGGTGGTACATGTCTTTAATCATGGTACTTACAGGAAGCTTCCTAAGTGGATCTCTGTAAATTCGAGGCTAGCTAGGATTACACAGAGGAACCCTGTTTCAAATCAACCCCCTCAACAGCAAAAAAGTTTTTAAGAGGGCTGGAGAGATGGCTCAGAGGTTAAGAGCACTGGCTGTTGTTCATCCCGAGGCCCTGAGTTCAATTCTCAGCAACCACATGGTGGCTCACAACCATCTGTAATTTGATCTGGTGCCCTCTTCTGGTGTGTAGGCAGAATGCTGTATACATAATAAATAAATAAATAAATAAATAAATAAATAAATAAATAAATAAATAAATAAATCTTTAAAAAAAATTTTTTAAGGACATGGATGACCCAGACTGGAGCAGCCCAGCTCCAGTGCTGCTGTTTACACAGAAACCAAACCCCACACCATTCTGCCTTCCGCGTTTTTATCCAATAGAGCAACCACGAGGTGGGTACTCGCTCTGTGTTACGGAAAGAAGCTAAGGCTCAGGCAGACAGTCCAAGCTCATACTTTGGCAGTAAGTGGCCAAGCAGGGGTTGGAACACACACTGAAGCTAGACAAGTACTGCCAGTAGATTCCATCACCTCAGTTGAAGGATTCCAGGTGTCCTTTATTCCACAGTAGAGCATGCCATCATTGGCACGCTATCATTGCAGTTCTGGTCATTATTTCTCTGCTTTTCTTTGTCCACAAGAGATTAGAGAAGGATCCAGGGCCTCTGCTTCACGTGTGCAAGGGTGGAGGATGGAGAGGGATCGGGGCCTCTCCTTCATGTGTGTAAAGGATGTACTTCTCTCTATTGAGATGAGTTTTGGGAATGGGTACCATTCATGACTCCATTGAAATGTCTCTTTTTTGGAATGCCTGTAGTAGATTAATATGGTAACACTTTGGTGTCATCAACTTTTGAGTTATATAAGTATTTATTAAATTGATTATTTCTGCCTTTATTATTTATTTGTGTGGGGTTGGGGAAGCCACAGTGGGCCTGTAGCTGTCAGAGGACAGTTCTCAGGAGCAGGCTCTCTACGCTGTTCTGGTCTCGGATTGAGCGCAAGGCAAGCACCTCACCTGCTGAGTCATCTTGCTGGCCCATTTTAAAATTAAATCCTTTTGTTGTGTTTTGAAATAGGGTCTTATGTAGCCCAGGCTGGCCTTGTGCTGTGTAGCTAAGGCTGGCCTTGAACTCTTGCCTCCTGCCTCTGCCTCCCAAATGCTGATGTGAGCAACCATGCCTGGCAATTCATTATTTGTGAAATGAGAGTTTTTGCTTCCTCTATAAAGTGTATTACTTTCTTTCCAGGATGTCTAATGCAAAAGAAAGGAAACATGCGAAGAAAATGAGAAATCAGCCCACCAGTGTGACTTTATCCTCCGGCTTTGTGGCTGACAGAGGTGGAAAGCATCATTTTGGATCGGGGAGATCTTCCCAAACTCAAAAACAAGGTAAGATGCACACGCTGTTCTTGCCACATCAATTTCTGTTAAATTTGCTAAACGTCATCTCGGAAGTAAACGATTTAAATTGGTTTAAAGAGAGATACAGAAAACTCTTGTTATCGAAGTTTGTACTTGCAATCTGCCTTCCTGTTAAAGTTCTGTAACCCCAGTTAACCCTTAGATCCCTGGTGTGTAGAGAGCCGGAGGGAACTGCCCCAAGTGTCAGTCACCGGCTGCTTTCCTCTTCAGCCATTTCCAGAGACTCTAGAGCTCTGCCTGGGGTTTGATGCTCAGCTGTGGGGTCACCCCATGTGAGTCACTTAAC